CGTGGCAGGTACAGCGCTGTGTGAACCTCCATGCTCCGTTAGAGGCTTTGGCTGTTGCGTGGTCGGCGGTGGTCGGCGGTGGTCGCCGGTCCGTTCGTCCATTGTGATGAGAGTTTTCACTTGTTTCTTGACGTGCAGATTTCGCGGCAGGCGCAGCACTTTGTGAAGCTCCATGTGCAGATTTCGTGGCTGGCACAGCACTTTGTGAACCTCCATGTGCAGATTTCGTGGCAGGCACAGCGCTTTGTGAATTTCCATGTGCAGAATTCGTGGCAGGGTGAACTTCCATGCTCTCTGGCTGTTGCGTGGTCGGCGGTGGTCGCCGGTCCGTTCCTCCATTGTGATTAGAGTTTTCACTTGTTTCTTGACGTGCAGATTTCGTGGCAGGCACAGCACTTTGTGAACCTCCATATGCAGATTTCGTGGCAGGCGCATTACTTTGTGAACCTCCATATGCAGATTTCGTGTCAGGCGCAGCACTTTGTGAACCTCCGTGCGCAGATTTCGTGGCAGGCACAGCACTTTGTGAACCTCCATGTGCAGATTTCGTGGCAGGCACAGCTCTTTGTGAACCTCCATGTGCAGATTTCGTGGCAGGCACAGCGCTTTGTGAACCTCCATGTGTGGATTGGCTATAGGGTTTGACGTCGGCAGAGCGATGGGGTTTTACTTCGGCTAGTTGTGGCTGTACACACATGTCTGCACCATATGTGGGGTTATCCGGTCCTTCAATTTTTGTAATAGAATAAAATTACTGTACAGTAGCAGGGGGGATGACTCCAAAACTTGTATCAGAAGCACCAATGTTTGGAGGCAAAGGTGACCGCAATGGAGGCGGCTTTCGTGATCGTATGGATCGAGATCGCGATGGGGAGGACGTCCCGAAAGAGATGGATTGAGCAAACATGAGCAAACCAGTTGTTAACATATCACCCCCAACGGCTGGCGGGGTGAAAGATGTAAAAGACTCCGACTCTCAGGTGGGGTGACATCCTCTCTGAGCCTTGGTTCGACCAAGCCTACGAAAAATCACACTAGATGATGGATGGCCCGGGAGCGTGGAAGCAACGGATATGTAGAAGAGGGTGTGCGTAAGACATGTGTATGAATACATTGGGTATATGCGCAGCTCCCACGTTTCTAGAGTCATTGCTACGGATGTAGTAAGATAAGACTCGTGGACACCGCCATTCATCCCGCTCCCCAGCGACACGCCGAATTTACACAAACATGTTTTCCTTCCCCCAATGGCATTGACCTCGACAATGATGACCTCCCCGCCGCACCCGCCTTATCACCCCCACTGAGGAAAACCAGAAAGGTCAACTTTAAGGCAGATGGAGGAATTGAAGAGGTTAATGATGATTGTATGGAGGAGGACCTTGAGGCACCTTCTTCAACTGCACCTTCACCTACTAATGGCCCGGGACAATCTTTGGCGAACCTGGGAACCCTGGACCCCGCCGTGGTGCAACTCCTAGCTGGGATGCGAAGGAAGACAGAAAACACACTGGTGGGAAAGATGGATCAAACGCAAGCAAGCCAACAAACAGTCCTTGAGACAGTGAACGCTCACAGAGCACAGATCGCCTCCATCGAGGCACGATTGCAAGTGATTGAAACCAAACAAAGCCAACAAGCTCCACAAGATGTGCCTTCCTATGTATCTCAACTGCAGCATGAAGTGAAGGAACTGACTCAGCCAGATGCATCAGCTCTCACGTGCCCGTGCCCCGTCGGCACCCCCGCGCACACATCACGAAGCTGTCCCAGCTGAACCACCCAGAGGCCACAGAGCAGCATCTACCCCACCATTGCCTTCCCGAGCACTAAGCCAGCCATCGTCCAGCCACGTCGACTGGAACCATCTCGTCATCGGCGGGTGGCTCACTGACACGCGCAGAGAGACAGTGGAATCCGAGACCAATGCCTTGGCGCAAACCATGGGGATTCAGACGGATGTCCTCGAGGTCATTGTCTATGGCCGAAGGGCTTACACCTCTCATGTCCGACTTCGAGCCTTGCCAGACGCTGACGCGAAACGACGACTTCTCCAGCTTAAAGCGGACAACCTGGACAAGCATACCATTCGCAGCTCTGGCAAGACTGCTTGGCTGACCCAGCACAAAAGTGCACACAAACGCTTCAACAACAGAGCAACCAAATATGTGAAGGACACACTCCACAACATAGTGTCCCCATCCTCCATGGAACAAATCGACGTGGACTGGAACAGGAAAATCCTTTGGCTTCATGATGCGAGAGTTGCTGCCTCCCAAGCGGCTGCCCTCCTCGCACCCAGCACTGACCAACTCGAGACTCTCATACACCATCACCTTCCACGTCAACCTGACTCGAATCTCCATGGCCACCCAGCTCCCAGTCCCTGCTTTGAAGCAGGCACTTGACAGCAAACAAGATGAGTGACTAGCCGGCACAGCCAGCCCTGTGCATGACCCTGAGGGACGGCACCAGCGATCTCCACCCTCACATTCCCATGTCTTCCAAATGGCAACGTGGAATGTGCGAGGCAAGTCCCTTGCTCAGATTGCTGACGTGCTGTCAGAACAGCGAATTCACTTCAACGCCATTGCTCTTCAGGAGGTCGGCTCCCTTGCCCAAGGCAATCTGACACCGAATAGCTTCCTCCAACCCGACGACCAGATCCAGTTCCATCCCAGTCTCTCGGAGTACTGGGTCCTTTGCACAAACCAGCTTCACAGTCACCTCGACCGCTCCTACGCAGACTGCGTTTTGAACACCCTCAAGGGGAACCGGTTCATTGGAGCACAAATCTTGCACACAAGTGGTGCAAAAATGTGGCTCTTTTCTGGCCACCTTCCTCATCACCATCAGCCTGCCCTTGACTGCGAGACAGCCATCCAAGAGATGAAGCACTTCCTTGCCAAGGTCCAGGACACTCCATGCATCATAGCTGCAGACTGGAATGCTTCACCGACTGGCCCAGCAATGGATGCACAAGGCCTGGCTGTTGCCTGCATGATTGAGGAAGAACACCTCGAACTACTAATGCCAACAGAGCCCACTTGGAAACACAAAACCTACGACTTCCTTTTGGTAAACCCAACCTTCGTGAACAAAGCCTCCCCAGAAGCAAATCCCTTTAGCCATCCGAACATATGCGAAGACTTGCACCAACTCCTACCCACCGATCACAAACTGGTCTGCGCAAGTCGTCCCAGCACATGGGCGCAGGGGCTGTGGAAAGGAGTGTTTGCAGGTGTTCTTTGTGTACAAGCCATCGGCCAGAGCGATGGTGCCGGGGATGGTGGTTCCGGTGTTTTTGTGTTGAGAGGATCATCTCAAAGGCGCAAAGAGCGGGCCCAGTGGATCGCAGACCTGCACAATGAAGCCAGAACTGGCGATGCCTCGGCCATCGCTTTCCTCCACAACAACCGGAAAAGCAGACCTGACTGGGGCAGCCTGGTCTCTGCACGCGGGGGGCGTGAAACAGCTGTCGCAGCCGTCCACCAACACTTCCACAACGTCTTTGCCAAGACAGCCCTGCCCACTCGCGATGATGCGTGTGAGCCATACCTGGCGACCATGCGAGAGTCTATGTCCCACATGCAGCCCACACCCATCACACCAGACGAGCACCTTGCAAGCATCAACAAACTCAAGCCTGGGAAGACTTCCGGCCCAACCGGAATGTCCAACGAATTCCTGAAAGCCCTTTCAGCAAGCAACAAGGGCCTTGATCACCTGCTTACAGTCCTCAACACCAGTTTTGTTCCGGCACCCTACCTTCAGCCCTCCACCTTGGCATTGCGTGCCTCATTCCCAAGTGCCAGCACCTACAGAAGCCAGAACAAATCCGACCCATCCTCCTGCTAGAGGTTGTACAAAAACTATACGCAGCCATCCTCATGCAAAGGCTGCAGCCCCATTGGCCACCACTCACAGCACAACTGGGCGCAGTGTCAGGGTCAGCCAATCGAGGCCCTTTTTGCCGCACACTACATGGTATCCATCGTGGAAGTCAGTCGCCACGGCCACTCCCATTTTCGTGAAGTTGGACATCCAATGTGCTTTCGACAACCTCAGCCATGCTAGCGTGGCTGCCTTCCTTGCCACCATGCCTGCCCCGGCGGCCTTTGAAGCACATCGCTTGATGAAGCTGCTGATGGAACAACGCTTCCTTTTCACCTTCTGCAGGGAAGAGTGGGCCATACATATCTCCAATGGAACTCCCCAAGGCAGCAGTCACTCAGCCGGGTTGTTTGCACGGACCCTTAACCATACCATGGGCAAAGTCACAGCGCAATGGGAGGCAGCCGGGCACACTCCTGTGTTCAGCCCGATTTGGCTTTTGCTTTTCGTTGATGACATACTTCTCACCTTCAAGAACTGGGCCCAAGCAACATGCTTACTGCCATCCTTACTTGCTGCTCTCAACCAGCTTGGATTGAATGCCAACTTCAACAAAAGTTGCATCGTCGCCCACGCCGACACACTCAGCCACTTGCCGCCCAAACACCTGCTTGGAGTTCTTGCTGACTTCCAATGGACCACGCACACCCAATACCTTCGCAAACCCTTGGGATACCATTTAGGACACGACACAGTTATGCAAAGCACCCTGCGGCTCATTCATCAGGCATGGGGCCGAATGAAGCCGATCCTCAACAAATGCCACTGGTCGCAGCCAGCAGCTACGAAGCGTTTGCTGGACAAATGCGTTGGTTCTTGCTTCCTGTGGCTATCGCCAATTCTTTTTCCACACAAATCCACCCTCCACAGGCTGCAAGTCATCCACACAACCATGATGGTTGAAAGCCTCCGCCTGTACATTCCCAACACCTCAGAGAAAGAAGCATACCAATTGCAGCGAATACGCAGGCATGTAGTACGAGAGTGGCTGTCCCAAGCAACCCAAACACACATGACTTACCCAATATCTACGAAGGTTCTGGTCCTTCCTTGGGCACATTTGCAGACAAGACTTCTACAGTCACCACCCAGCCAGGGTCATGCTCACTCATATAGCAGACAGACATGCAGGAGGCTTGGCACGCCCCGGGCCCTGGCACGCAATTCATTCCTTGCTGCGCAAGTTTTGGGCCGAGAAGGAAATCGAACATGACTACTTGTACGTGGCGCACGACCGAGATGCGTGGAAACTCCTGGGCGCAACTTTCCTCACATGGATGGCTCAACCCATGAAGACGACCAAGGCTGAGCTGCTGTCTCAGAACCCTTGGGAATCCAAAGGTGCATTGCTACGACAGCAAACAAACTAGCTACGCAAAGCCGTTCTCAGCATCCATGGCACAACCTTACTCTTGACATGGCTGGACACAGTGGAAGGTCCATCGAGATTGTCCATCCACATTGACCATCCACACTCAGCAGATACCGTCTTGCTTGGAACGACATCTTCGCATCCTGCACCAACCTTTTGTTCAACAGCTAGCCATCAGCCAGCCTGAAATCTGGAACCTCCTACATACTCATGAACAATGTTGCCATGAACGCCTTCTGAGGGGCCAGACCGCTTGGTACCAACTTTTCCCTCTTTCACCCCGTGAGGTAAATGCCTCTGTCATGCAACCTTTTCTCTTGTAGATGCTGCGAATGCTTTCAGCGTTTCTTTCGGGCAAACCCTCCGGAAGCCCTAGAAAAAATGGCACGGACTCAGGCATATTCACGTGGCTGCGCGCAAAACCGCATGCCACAGCGACATCAACATCACAGACACAATTTGGCCACAAAGCGTGCAACACGCCAGATACAAAAATGATCGAACATATAACATGAAACACCGTGGGCGCCGTCAATCTTGCTGCCCAGCGACATGCCGAATTTACACCAGCAGGTTTTCCTTCCGCACGTGGCCGCGCAAAACCCGCAT